GTTGATGTAAGTAACTGATATAGCACAAGGCTGTAAAAATGAGATTGTACGGGTTGAAGGATGAATGAGATTGGTCTACTTGAGGGCAGTTATCTTTATCTGCCTCAATACATGTTGGCAACAAGGCCTCTCTTCACAGGGTAAATGTGTGGGGAGGGACTCAGACCCTCAGCCACGGCTGAGAATCACTCCCCTTCAACGTAAATATGTGTGAGGAGGAAGTCAAACTTTTAGGCATGACCGAGCCTTCCCCCTAAAGGTAAATGTGTGGGGAGTTCACATTCTCAGGCATGACAGAGCCCCCCCCCCCCCCCTCCAAGATAAATGTGTCGGGAGGAGGTTAGACTCTCAGGTATGACCGAGCTCCCCCCCCCCGCCCAAGGTAAATATGTGGGGAGGAGGTCCGACTGTTAGGCATGACCAAGCCCCCCCCCCCCGCCATTTACATCCAGTTTGCAATTTGGTTAAGGCGGCTGGGAATTAACTATATATTACCCATTGCACGTGACCCGCACGGTCACCTTTGGTGTTCAAAAGACTTTTTCATGCGCGCATTATTAGGCAAGGGCCTAATTTGATACCAAACCTGAACTGCACGCAACCCAAGGTAAACAGAAGCAAAGCTAATCATGTGTGGTCGAGTCTATACACTTAGTCGGTAGATTTTATCCTCGAAGCAGTTTTGTTTCGTAATCAGATACCTGTTCGTTATTTGACGGTGGCAGTTTTTTTATTATTTGGCCCATGGGACCAAATTTCCGAATGTAAACAGCAAATTCATACGTGACGACGACGTAAAAACGCCGCCGTATCCAAACTTACGGGCCATTTTGAAAGACCTGACCTGACACAAACGTTTGGTTTCGCTACTACTGACCAGAATTGTTGTTGATCTGAATTTCTTGGTTGCATACGGTTGATTGGGTTCAGGATTTGAACAGTTTCCCCTGCAACTGACGGTTATCGGACCAAAGCCGATAAAAGCGCGTGTGTTGTGAGCGGGTGTGGAAAAGACTGGTCAGCGGGACGACAGCAGGTGTGGGAGTGCCCGATCAGCGGGACAACAGCAGGTGTGGGCGTGCTCGATCAGCGGGACGACGGCAGGTGTGGGAGTGCCCGATCAGCGCGACGACAGCAGGTGTGGGAGTGCCCGGTCAGCGGGACGACAGCAGGTGTGGGAGTGCCCGATCAGCGGGACGACAGCAGGTGTGGGAGTGCCCGATCAGCGGGACGACGGCAGGCTGCTGGAGTGGAATGGCCAGGCGAAGGGGCCATGGGGGAGGCTGAGCTGCCGGCGGGCGCTGAGCTGCGTCAGCCCTGGCGGGCAGCTGCTGGTGGGCGCTGAGCTGCGTCAGCCCTGGCGGGCAGCTGCTGGTGGGCGCTGAGCTGCGCCAGCCCTGCCAGCAGCTGCCGGCGGGCGCTGAGCCGCGCCAACCCTGCCAGCAGCTGCTGACAATTGCACGCACGGATTACCTGAGGTGTGGCTGACCCAGCTCAGGCGTCTGGGCCGCCACACACACACACAGGCATGGCTCTGTCCGTGGGCTGGCGACGCGCGCCAGCTCGCTCTGGGGAGCACCAGTCTTAAGGGAGTCTCTGTGGTCAATGCTTGGGAGCCAAGTCCGGCCAGCAGATCGGGTCATTTAACGGGCAAGGTAGGGCTGTGTTATAGGATCGGAGTGGTGTGCAACTTACAGGTGATAATTGAATTCTTAACACTTAACATTTTCGGAAATCAGTGAAATAACTCCACCCGGTCATTTTTGGGCCGTCGCAAGATGCTACCCGGCAATGCACAGTCATTACATTGCTTTCACCGGTAACCTCTCGAGTCAGCCATAAGGTTTGGGCTTCCCCAAGGGTGACAAAACGTCATGACGAAGAGGCTCCGGAACCTGTATTTTGGAACCCTCCAAGCCTTAACTTTCAGGAGATATCAAATTCCAGGGACACAACAACGAGTCCCAAATATTCCTTTCCGAGAGGACGAAATTTCATGGGCATTACAATGCCCCTCCCCCCCCCCCCTTCCACCATGGCCTGGGTATGCTCCTTCGGTGGAGGGTCGCCAAAACGCTTGCTTCGGCACACCACAAACTTTTTCAAGAGGTGATAATAAGCGTTTGGTTCATGGAAATGTTTTAAAGAGAGCATCACCGCTTTGGTACTTTCCACTTATTGCTACATCAAATGCTTGCGATTTGCTTAGTGATACCAGTTTTTTCTAAATCCTTCCGAATAGCTTAGAATTTTGACTTGAAGCAGCTGACCCCGAGGGAGAAATTTCATTTGACTCCCTGCTCACCACTATGAAAGTAATGCATTTCATTTGTCTTGCTCTTTCCAGTGTGTGTGTTCTGTAATGTTTGGTGCCAAAACACCAAGGTGCTAAAATGCTAGTGTAACAAATGCTACGAAAGCATGAAACCTTGCTTGAAAAGTTTTTAAAAAGAACTTATTATGCCGCGAATTCGTCAATTCGTTATGCTATGACTTTGATTTCTCTCCTATCGCGCTTACCACGGTGGCTCTATTCGAGGCGTACCTTGGTTTAAGGAATGGGAACATCACATGGCCCAAAGTGACGCACTGGTTTAAAGTTCATACCAGGCGCTTCTCGGTATCAGATCATTGTCGCTGGGGCAAACAAACATTACATACCTTCTTTTATTTGCAACAGTAGAGGTGTGCAAGGAGGTTGTCATGACGATGGCGGTTACGACTGCAGGGAAGAAGTGCAGCCTTGTTAAAAAAAAACATTGGACAGCGTAATTTGCACGACTCGAAAATAGTTACAATTGATATCCTTAATATGTCTCAGTGATGCTGCTGTGGCAAAACTCAGTGCTATTGGTAAACTAACTGGTGCTGAGATTTCACTAAAGAATCTTTTGTAATATGCCGCAAAGGTGGGAAACTCCCTTGAAAAGGAATGATTACATTTGAAGATATTGAAGCAAACATGAGATTTGATGAAATATGCGCACTTCACAACATTCGTACACTTCTAGGTGGAGACGACTGCTCTAGACAACACAGTTTCTCTGTTTCGTAAACATGTTCCACAATGCGTGATTGAATACGTCATCGTACCTTGCAAAATATTGATTGAGAGACAATTTCTGGCCGTCATATCAGGACATCGTGCTCACGAAGGCCAGATGTGAACGACTCGACAATTATATCGCTTTTGTTCGCCGCGTGGCTAACGGAATAGCCGGATTTTAATGACCTCATTATGGCGTCATGGATGACTGACTGGGTGACCTTGAAATAGCCTTCCCGAAAAAGTCTGCACATCTTCGCGGGCATGTAGCTTAAGAACTAAAAAGGTTTAGGTCTTAAAAAGGACGGGGCTGCGGACTGCAACGAATGCTCTTCAAGATGGCACGTTCAGAACAAACCCCGTCCAAATGTGGATCACCATTTAAAGCAAATCGAATTGTCCAAAAATAATCCAATAAATTGTCTGTAGCATTTCTTTTCTTCGTTTAAATTTGTATGTGGATACCACAAACGTTGCTGCTTCTGATTTAGCCGTTTCACTTATATACAAACCTGCCCGTTGCTTACCGCGCATCTCAGGGTTGCTTGTGCATCGGGATATGCAGTGGACGTTCTTTGAAACGATAGAAACTTTTTGGATTTGAAGTAATTTTTCCACCTTGGATTGGATGGATTGCATGCACACGGATTCCGCGTCAAAGTCCAGAAATGTTGATAGAGGGCTCAGTCCTCCCAACGTATTGAAACTTTCACCCACGGTCACGTGCTTACTAGCTCGAACCATGTCAGTCTACATGATTTAAATTAATTTTGAAAACCACAGAGGTGTTTCTTAAAACACGTGTCATGAGAAAATTGTGTAGTCAGCACGTTTCACGTATAACCTGGCAAAAAAACAGCCGGCTTAGACCACCTCAAAGTGCCGGGCTTAAGCTAAATAACCGCATCAACCAACACATAATGCCTCAGAAATGTATGGTAGGAGTTAGACTCTTCGTTCCTGGACACCGAATTTTTAAGATCCAGGAATAGTTTTAAATGTTTCGTTGAACGATTTCCCGAATTCCGAACGTGTTTTTTGTATGAACATGATATATTTCTAAGGCTTTGATTTTTACTTGAATTTTGGCGGAGCATCATTTGGGATCAAATAACTATTTTGTGATTCTGCCGAGGGACCCTTTGGATTCTGAAATCATTTATTGGGAGCTATTCATATGGCAAACGTCATTGTTACGCAATATAAGATAAGGATCCCTAAAGTGTTATCGTCCCTATCTTTGTTTCGCCTTGAACACTGGTAGCGCAGTTTTATGCAGTGTTTGCACAACCTGAAGTGTTTAGAGACTAAGGCGTTCAGAAACTCACAATGCGACAGCGATATTCATGAGCAATATGCCCGCGATTGTCGGACGCGAAAGCAGATGAAGCCCCGTGAATGTGCGGCCGCGGACGCCGAGCTACCGTCTCGCCCTTGCAAAACCTCACACGCACCATCCGACCAGCGCTTACAAACGCAACAGCAATCTCCGGGGTTAGGGGTCTGAATGCCGAGAATGCAGTTGCCACTGCCGCCAGCTCCACCTCCAGTACCGGTACAGCCAGACAAGCGCACCGAGCGCAGAAGATGAGGCCGTCAAACCACTTCCCCGGGCCCCTCCCCCGGCGCGCGCCGGCTGCTGGTTGGTCGCCGCCGCCATGCTCCAGCCTCCGTCGCCATGGTGACCACTGATTCCATCCCAGTCGTCTGGCAACCAATTTGCTTGCCGCCGGCTTCCCAAATAGGCGCTAATTACACGGCACTGATGAAGCGGCCGCGTCGTATCGGCTTTCCGGGCGGCGGCAGCGTTGTAAGGCGTCCTATAAATCTTGCAGGCGCTGGCGGAGATGGACAGTTACGTGCCGAACAACCCCAACTTCGGCTGCGAGCCGGCCGCCTGGCAGCCGCTGACGCCGCCCCGCTACCAGTACACGCCGTCGCCGGAGCCGGGGCCGCTGCCAGGCACGCTGCCGCCGGCGGCCAGCCTCGGGCCCGACCCGCCGCTGCAGACCTGCCACACGCCCGACCCCATGATCAACGGGCTGTCGTTCAACGCGCTAGACTTCGAGCCGCTACCGCACGTCTACACCATCAGCAACCAGAGGTGAGGCCCCGGCCGGGGCGAGGCGGGGCGGGACGGGGTGGGGCGAGGTGGAGCGGGCGGGCCTGTCCCGGCCCCCCCCCCCCCTCCACCATCACCACCATGATCGTAGAGACATTTAATGGCATGCCTGTTTACGCTACGTACTGGTTAAGGTTGTAGTATGTGTGTAAGCAGTAACGATGTCGCTTGCTGATATGCACCAGCATTGTACGTTGTTCATTATCAGCGCTGCTCATCGGGCAGCGCTCTCGCAGCGTATGGCAGTGGTGTCACTAGGCATTGCATGCTAATCTACACCCGTGATGTGTGCAAGAGTCATTAGTGTTGCGGTGTCAGTAGGGAGGAATGGGCGAGAAGCGAATGCCCTGACCTGCTTCCAGAACCGATCTGCAGATTTGCCTATATTTTCTCATACGTGTTAAAAAAGAGCAATGCATTTAGGTTTTAAGGCCTAAACTGGTCTAAATCACGTCCTTGGCCGTATGTTTATCAACACTGATCCGCGTTGTGATAATAAACCGCCAACTCATTGATCGACATAATCCGGTGCGTCCATCCGTGTCGACACTGCATGTTCAGAACCGAGTACTGACCATCAATGTCACCTTTTCACTCGGCGTGCTCGCATCGCATATCTTTCCCGCGTAGACCTTGAACCCCTTCATTTTAATTGCATATGCGTACCCGACACGTGACTCCGTGGACGGGCTGCTGACGTGCTGGCTGTGCGGTTCTCATCAGTTTTTTTTTTAAAGTTACGTCCGATGCAGTAGCTTTGATAAGTGCCGGGTACATATCGCTGGCGCCCCACCCACTTTATGTGGGCGTGTGATGTAAGGTATTCTTACGCGGAGTGCTCGGGACAAGTCAGCAGGTGAGGGTGGCGGGACACACCCATCTCAGGACCCAAACTACAGGGCAGCACCTACTGGCGGTGACAGAGATTACCCCTACTGATCTAAAAACAGTTCATACTTTTAATGACAAACGTGTAAGGTGTGTAAGGTGTGCGATGTAACATGCTATTGAGTTTTAATTACTGCATTGTTCTGTTCGTTTTACGAAGCGTAGCCGATGAGCTGGTCGGTGGCGCGCGAGAAGTCCGACACGTGGCGTGTTTTGTTGCAGGGGCTTCAGTCCGCCGATGCGAGAGAGATCTCCGACGCAGGAGATGAACGACTTCTTCTTCCCCATGAAGCACCACGGCGCCGGCGCCGGTGAGTGCGTGTGTGCCGCATTCCTGAACGGTGTCTCACGGTGCCGCGGACGTCACCCAGACATAGGCAGGGACATTTTGACGAGGGGAAGCACCGAGTTTAGGGGTCTGTTTACTGACACTGGTATGTAACCGCTGAATACAACTTAACAGTGCTCTTTAAAGGTGCACGCTGTCTGGTACTAAAGAAAATTAAAACGATGTTTCCGCTACATCGCTACAATGCAATTTCAAGTTCTATTTTATAAACGGATGGAACCTTGAGCCCCCGGTTCTTCACTGTCATGAGCTGAAAGTTCGTATCCTAAGCTATCGAACTTCAATATACCAAGAGGTACTGGTTAAACAGCATTATTGTGCAAACATTGATCATATTGTCAGCACTCGAGTTTCCAAGCTGTGTTCACGGATCACGAGTGCCTCGTGCCCCGTGAACATAGCCCAGCTTCAAACGTCGAGTACCGTCTAAATAGCCAATGTTTGTCTAAATTTGAGGACCGTCAAATAGCTAAAACGGTAGTGTCGTGTAACCAGCACCTCCTGATATATTGCGTGTCAATAACTCCGCATACAAACTCTGAATTCATAATGGTTCCAGCTCAGTCAGCTCCGTACATGTCATCGTGCACTTGTGGCCAGATCGAGGGATGATATTTCCGTGACTGTGGCAAACCATTAACGGGCACCATTAGTACAGAACGTAACATCAACGCTTGAGCGCTCGCATTGGGCAAGACGGTGAAAAACAGCGGCTTGGCCGCACTGGTGCAGGGGGCGGGCCAACTCACCGGTTCACGGGTCGTGCTCGCAGCAGCCGCCGCCACGCGGAGCACGCGGCGCGCGCGTGATCACTGGGAACCGGGAGCGGGAATATCCCAGATGCGCCGCGTCAGAGCAGGCAGCGCCGCGCCGCGATGCTGCGGTCACACAACACCTGCGGGCGGCGGCAGCACACGCCGACGGCGGTCGCGTTCACAGGCTGGCGGCGCTGCTGGGGTCAGGCTCAGCTCAGCTCCAGCGGGCTGTGATGTTTATTCGTTATTTTGCATCACTATGGGGGGGGGGGGATGCAAGCTCAAGGTCTAACGCGAGTGACACCATTTGGTGACGTCCTGTGCTGTCACCAGAACCAGACTTGCCCCCCCCCCCCCCGCTCCCCTGCCGCCCAATTTGGCTTCATCCACCCCGGCTCCCTGGCTCGCTCGATTAGCCACAGTGACTGACCTTAAGCTCACCTGGGTGTATATCGAAGTAAGACACGGGGTCTAAGTCGATGAGCTCCCCTTTTGAGTTATTGTATAGTTTTAGAATGGTGTTAACGTGCCGAGAAGGCTGATGTATATCCCAATACAAAGAAAATTAAGCGCTTACCACTAGGCTGAAAACTGAAACAAATATACAAATCACCGACGGCACTCAGTGGCTGTAGAGATCGCCCAAAGATCTTGAAGAAATGTGTCAAGTCTAAACAAGCGGCTTCAGGTCGCGCGTCCTCTGCCAGGCAGCTTGTGGTGCATACCTTTATCCTGAACTATGGGCGACCTGACCTGTGCTCACTGGGGTGGCGGAGGCGGGGACGCATGGGGCCGAGGTGTTAGCCATCTTCATCTCCGATCCGGCCTGGGCCACTTGGGGTGGCGCAAGTGGGGAGACATGGGGACGAAATGTCAGCCATCGTCATCTCCGACCCGGCCTGAGCTAACCAGGAAAGCGGAGGTGAAGGGGCATGAGCCCGAAGGGTGGAGAGAATTAGCCATCCACTTCTATGGAATAATGCTTCATAAACCAAAGTCGTTGCATGGAAGGAGCCCGGGTAAAGGTCGCGTTGTCTCTCTTCTCCGATTCTTGACGATATCCGCCGCAATTGCCGAACCTGTACGATCCTTGAACCGGACTGTTTGCAAGTCAGCTAGTTTGCTGGGAGGCATCACGTAGCAGACCGTCATGACATGAACAACCGTCGATATAGCAGCTTTACTTATTGTCGGAGAAGTATAAACTGTATTGAATGCTCTTGAACTCTGGATACGCATTGAAACATTCGGAGCTCAAAACGTCCCACGATGAAAACGTCGACGCATCCAGCGAAAAACAAAACAAAACGTTGCATTCAGCCTTCATAACATCCGGAAATCGTCCAATGCACCTGGACAGGGGAAATAATATTCATAACATTCAACGTTCACGACGTCCAAAAGTTGAAGAAGTGTTAATCAAAGCTTGTTCATTGGATATCGTGATCGCTGGATGCATTTTACATTGGTTTTTGTGATTTCGGTCGTTGCGAGCTTGGATGCTATGAACTCCGCCAATGGGCCGGTATTGGACGCATTTTGAATGCGATGAACACTGGATGATGCGATTTTGGATGATAGGAGGACTGGACGCTGCGAGTTTGGACGTTTTGCTAGTTCCCTGCTCTTTCACTTGATTTGTCCCAAGCCATGCGATTGACACCAAGTATCATCTCACTGAGGCTCAAAATGCTTGACTGACAAGCGCGGCTTTATCTTATTCGGGTCTCGAAATGGCGACATTGCTGTTACAGGAGCACATCCACAATGTTGTTAACAGGTAAGCCCCAATGGAGGGTAACAAACAGAATCCAACAGTGGAGAAGAAGAGTCTGTATCACCTTTCTGATGCGTAACATTGATATAATTCGCGTTATCGAATGAGCGGATTCATAAATGCGTAACGACGCAACAAGCCACGCCCTTCAGACCACCGGCTAGGTCCAATTTCTGATAGGATTGAGGACTTGTTCTGAATGCATGTTTCAGTGAGCGACTGGGTAACCTGTCAATTGTTGGCATTTTTGGCTCGCCTGGGACTATCGCAAAGCTGGTTTGAGGTTATTCGTCATAAATCTTGAAATAATTGAAAAGGTTTCGAGACCCCAGAGTCTCTTGTTTAGCATAGTAACTCTGGTACGTGATGTCATTTGAAGCATAGTGAACAGAGATGTGCAATTCCAAGTGGGAGTGCTATCTTATACAAAGATCCAAGTTGTACTGCACGCTTAGGCAGCTGCGTTAGGTACGTTCGTGAAGAGAATGATAATGCTATGGAGGCGCTCGGAATGGAATGACTTCAAAATCGGCTTTGGCGTCCTCATTTTTTGATGCGTTTATCTACTAATCACTTTTCAAGCATGACGCCTTCTACTTGCTTGTTCATGTCAACTCGCTCTGTCTTTTGAGCTTGACCTCATGACCTGCCCCTGATTTTACCATGCGCTCGGGTGGGGTCAAATTGATGCCCCGAAGGTTTTACGGAATGACTTCCGACCGGCGCGGCGTAGCCACACCAAATTTTGTACAACTATAGACAATTAGATATTAAATCTTTTGGTATAAAAAGTTAAGATACACCTTGTGAAGTTACTGATCAACGACATGTCAAAGTTAGACCATGGATTCAGCAAAGTCAACTTCTAGGGAATTGTTCGATCTGATGGAATAACGAAGTGTTTAACAAAGCCACACACTTCTGAGATACTTTCTGAGGCAACACAACAATAAAATGAACAAATTGAATTGACCAAAGGTTGGGTATGAAGGTAAGAGCAAAGTCAAAGCCAGTCTGTTTTATTACTTCATGGATTGCCGTATAGGGCAATTTATGGTGCTCATTTCGAATTTATTGATAACAGTCACTGCATGGTATATCTTCCATGGATTTTGTATAGGTCATAATAGGCTAATGATCTAAAGTGACACTTGGTCAACACTTCTGCCTTTTAAGAACATAATGCCTGGCATAATCTTTGTCATTCATTCAAATGCAAAACTCAAGCAGTTTTATATGATTTTGGTCAACATGCCCTACAAGTGGTCGAACCAGTTCACAGATCTTAAACGAGCATGTAACCTTTTGCGTACAACAGATATCTAGGTTTTGGGGGTACGTGGGGAACTAACCTGGAATTTGACCTTTTTGAATTTATTTGACCCAAAGGTCATGACGCAGGAACTTCAAATTCTAACCTAAATAAGTTATAAGTTAACCCCCCATGCCCCTCCTACTATAAACAGCGTCGCACCAGCACCTACTCACATTCCTGTCTTGTTCGGCGACGATCATTCTTCCCTGCTCGACACGCATTCGTCTCAGAAACAGGCCTCCTCTATCCCTTGAAAGGTTCTAGGCCCCCCACAAGCGTTTCTTATATAATTCGTGACTAACCAAATCATCACTAAACCATTATATTTCCCCAACCTATCAAAATAGCTTCACCTCACAACTGTTTGCCCGACTGGCGGAAGCTGTTTTGAGGGCGATTTTTGTGTTAATCTCCAAAGAGGACATCACTCTGTTAAAACAACTTCACCTGTTTCTTTTTCGAAGAATGCCAAGGCAAGCCGCGGGGATGAGCTGGCAGCCACACCCCGACAGTGGGCGGACCTAGACATGGCATGCCGGACGGGCTGGCCAGTGACCATTGGGTGGGCGTCACGCGGCCGACGGACGGGGGGAGGCCTCGCCGGAGGGTGGGGCCTCGCCGGAGGGTGGGGTCTACCCGGAGGATGGGAATCATCGCTTAACGGTGAGGGAGCGCCTGGGGATGGGACACTTGTGGGGAATGGGGCACCGGCGGAGGGCGGAGCAATGCTGGAGGGTAGGGCTCCGACAGGGAGAGGGACACTGCGAGAGGGTGCTGCCAAGGGTGGGGACGGGCCGAAGAGAGGGGCTCCGGGACTGGTTATTGGTCATTAACGTGACGGGACGTCGAGATAGCACACATCAGATGACGTGGAAGTATATGGACGAATCGTGCTAGTTGCTGACACGCGTTGGTTGATGGACCATCTTTTCGATTCTCCGGATGTCCCCGCGCACCAATGTTAAAACTAGCACAACTGCCTGGCGACAGATGCATGCTAGAACATTTCCATTACCATTGGTGGCATATGGCATTCGGTATGGCCGGGCCTTAAACCGTGGGCATGACGCCGAAGGGAAGCTCTTCGATGATACGCCGGCGCAAAACAGGCAGGC